CTCTCTCTCTCTCTCTCTCTGTTTGCTATGATATGGCCCGTGATCTTTCATGTGCGCTGGTTCCGTACTTGCTGTGATGCTATTGTTCGTTCGTTAAAATTTAATGTTTTTTTTTGTCTAATTCGGTTCGTTAGTACTTAGTTTTACTTAAGCTCCCCGTTGCTTCTCTCTCTCTCTCTCTCTCGCGCTCACTATCTTTCTTTATCTATCTATCTTGCTCTCTCTCTCGGTCTTTCTGCGTATCTAACCGTCTCACTATCTCTTTCCCTCTTTCTGTAATTCTGATTCTGTAGTCTTTCCCTACCTTTTCTTATCGTCTCTCATTTTCCCACCTCTATCACTACAACGTCATCATTGCACACGTATGACGTCACACATGATCACGTAATCAACGCACAAACCTCCTCCTCCGACACACAACTACCAGCTAGTGTAGTATCACACATATGACGTCGCACGTGACGTCACACGTGACGTCACTCGTATACTTTACCCTTGAGCGCAGCTCCCTTTCGGATTCCAGATCATCCTCCAACTGATGGACCTTGTCCTGTAACAGAGAAGAGAACACGGACACTTAGTATATTACTGTGAAGAAGCGACGGTGGTGGGGCCAATTAGTTTAAAAAGCATCGTGGGAAACTTGGGAGCCGTGAGGATTCGCTCTGAATTAGTGCGGGAGTGTGCAGGGCTGCGACCTTGGGGAGTCCTTGGAGGGTAATTCGGGAGACGTGAGTCGAAACGTAGGTACTGCAGGTTTGCGCACGCGTTTTTCTCTCTCTGTGTGTGTCTCTCTATATCTCTCTCTCTTTCTCTTTCTCTGTCTATTCAATGGTTTTTCCGAGCATTCTCAGTCTATTTAATGGTTTGCTAAATGAAATGATAAAATGGAAAGAGCGGAATGAATGGAATATATAAAATGGAATTTCATCTCTGTATCATCTATCATCTATCACCTAGTAAGATACGTAGATCTTACTACGTTACTTTGGTTTACTGAATAGGTATATAGGAACGATTTAATAGTATGCACAGATGAGCATCATGAAATAGGTTTTCAGCCGGTTTTCAGTAGGTAACGAACGTATACATATATATACATACATATATAGGCAGGGCAATTAAGCTAGCTAGTTGCTTTCGCGTAACATGAGATAGCAGAGGCAGGCTTTGAGCCAGGAAACTTTCTCGTGATTTGTTCGTTTGATATCGGGTTACTACGTTCCATGACGCCATCAAACAGCTACGCCACCATGCGGTAACCAGGTAAATTAATGAAAACTATGTCAATGAAATGTTCACGTGGCGGCTTTCCCTACTGCCTAATATATAATATATAGTATATAATATAATTGACATTCTGCCTTTGAAATATTTTATACCCTTTGATAATTTTACTTTATAGTTTTAATATTACTTTTAAAAAAGAAAGGTCTTCTTTCTTTTTCGAGTTGTTTTTTATTCATGTATTTTTGAGTGTGTTACATTTATACGTTGTGTTTTATATAAATATGTATATAAAAATTGTCGGCGAAACATATCAAAACATATT